GGCACAGTCAAAACAAATAGTAGTATTTTCCACTGATCAGTTGACAGTCTATCAATAGTCTAATTGACTTGGATGTGGTTGGCTGTGCACTCACACAGGGTTAAGAGAGAGGTGCAGTGATGGAAACATGCTGACATAACAATGGCCTGCACGTCCCACGAATCTCCTTTCAATGTCCGATCCTAGAGAGGGGACTCCACCGAGCAACAGCCTTCGAAACAAGACTCAGCTAATAATAAAGTACTTATGATAAAACACAATATGGTTTTACGGATTATGGAGCACAGACCACAGATGGCATAGTGGCTTTGAAGATTTTATCTCACGAAGCACTGAAACCACGCAAATATGCTTCCTTGGACTCTTGGCTGGTTTGAATATGCAAACCAGTTTTTTTTGTTTTGTTTTTTTTACAAATCTGTGCTGTGACACTGATAAACTCATAGATGTTGATATATTATGTTTTAAGAGGACATACTTCTACATTATACATTTTCTAATATGAAGTCTTAGATTATTAAATCTGTATTCTCTTATGACAAAATCATTTCATGTAGGTGATCTGGAAGTATAATCTGCGGAGAGAAAGTATGAACTCAGAAAAACTAAGAAAAGTTACAAGGTAAAGGAGGAAGGGATTTTAGGCTAGGTTCTGCTTGGAAGGCGATGGATATTACTGCTGGGTTCAAGGTCAAGTCAACTGACTCAGTGACATGTTGATTATGAATCTAATAAGTAGCTTGCATAAGAATTAAATGACTTTTTATTTTAGATTTGATGTGCAGGACTTTAGTGGAGGAAACCGATGCTATAAAGAATGTAGTTCAATAAAGAATTTAACTATTTTAATCATTTCGACGTCACACAGGTTTTTGGTTGTACCTTGTTTTGCATTATGTGCACTAATAGTGTACTTACCCAGGAAAGCGCTTGATCATATTTAGTAACTACACAGACGTAACGTGCAGGTTCAGGGTTAGTACCCAGCTATTGTAATTACTATACTAAATTAATAGTATAGCATAGTAAAGTATGTATATGCAGAACAGGACTGTAAAACAAAGAACTACTTTTAGAAGTTTAAACTAGAAGTTTTTAAGTATTGTAATTCCTTATTAGTAAATAATACTGAAAGCACAAAATTTTTCTGTAATTAGATTAGATTAGATTCAACTTTATTGTCATTGTGCAGAGTACAGTACAGAGCCAATGAAATACAGAAGCATCTAACCAGAATAGCAAAACCTATGTGTATTCAAATATAAAATATTACGGTTACACTTTATTTTAAGGTGTCCTTGTTACAGTGTAATTATACATATACGTACAGAGCAATATTAATTAACTACATGTACTTACTATTATAATAACAAATAATTATGCATAATTATTTGTTATTATAATAGTAAGTACATGTAGTTAATTAATATTGCTCTGTACGTATATGTATAATTACACTGTAACAAGGACACCTTAAAATAAAGTGGTACCAATATTACTTTCGAAAGCTGCAATCAGACTGGATTCACTCAGATAAGTGCATGTAAACATACTGGTGATGATGGCTCATGGATCACTCTTTACTTTTGGTGACTAGACCTGAGCTTGAACTACTACTAACACACAGATTGGTCTTCCACAGACTTACGTTAACACTTTATGATTGGTATAAAGTATTGTAATTCATTTTTAAACTCAGAGTATGCATATGTGCACACATGAATGTGTATTAGTGAAACCAATCCTAAGCATATTTACATGTATAAATGACCACTACGCTTCAGATACGCCCATCTGGTTAGTCTCTCTATGTTGATTGCATGCTCTTTGTCAGGTGTCGAGTCAAATGTCAAGCTCCTGTGGTCTGCATTGCTATATTCACCTCAGCAGTAGTTGTGCACTAGTGTGACGTCATCACATAAACCCTGATCTGAGTTCAAACTAAACTCTTTGTCCCCTGAGCTGAAGAGAGAGATAAAGTCAATCAAAAAGCACATAACATAAGTATTACTGCATAACATTAAACAAAGTGGTAATAATGGCAAACAACTACTGGCTTATTTTGGATTTGACCCACAGGCTTATGGAAGCCTCTAAAATGATTGGCATTGTTGTAAGTCATGGTGTGAAGACCCACATGTTGGGTGCTTCTCAAACAAGAAGGCTGCATCCCAGTGGTGCTTTCTAGGCACCTTCTCAGCACTGAACACTAAAATGAGATGGTCTAGCAAGTCCACATGTCTGCATCATTGCGATTTCCACCCCTGCTGCCACAGCACAAAACACTATTAAAATAAATTTTGGAAAAATACATTAAACATCTTTATATTGACTGAATTTCTATGAATGCATTACAGTGAATGTCAACTATCGGTTGTCTCCCATTGGTTTACATCATGGGCAGTTAATTTATAACAAAGCATAATGCCTTCATCTTCAATCATTTTTTTTGTCTTGTATTACATAATGAAACTGGACCAGTTCAGGGCCTTCAAAACATGCTAAATGAAGGACACAAAACAAAGGATACTTCAAATTGAGATGGTCTTTGGCAGTGCTTGACATGGCGGCCCAGAAATGCATTCTTGCTAAGACGCAGACTTTCATTTGAGAAGCACCCTGCTGATGTTCTGACTGTAGAAGGAGCCGTGAAACTGCGAAGGCATCCTCATGGCATGTTTCCAAAGATGCATACCAGCTTATACATCAGTACTCAAAAGTATTGGAAAGATGCAGCTTCTTTATCTGTTTGGCATCTTCAGCAATCACTTGGCAGTATTTGATGGTGAATTATAAAAATCTGTTTGGTTTTGTACAGACATGGCCATTTTATTGTTATAATACATTTCAAACACAGTGGTAAGATGTGGGAGTCAAAAAACTTTTTTTGAGAAGAAAAAGCAACTAAAATTTGGCTAAACATTTAGCTACTGTAAAATCCAAGATGGTGAACACTCCAGTATGGCTGATACTGAAAGTACATTGATTTTGGCTCGGCACCATTGTAAAGTGGGAAACCAGGCAAAACACTGGACACATTGAGTGACAATTACTATATTTGATGACATTAAGAGACCGTGCCATTACTGGCAACTTCTTACCTTATGGTTGTTTGGGCTGCCTAAGAAAAGATAACTAATAAATCTTTGGTGCTTGATGCCTATCATATGCATATTTTCTCTACTTCATTGTATTTCAAACAGATATTTACGTACAGAGGAAAAAATGCAAATAAATAAATAAAATAAGACAAGAAAAGATACTTGCAGTTTTAAAACCTTGTAAACAAAGAGAACAAAATATGTTAGATAACAAAGGAAAGCAAGGAAAGTGGTTACTATACGAGCACATTTATGAAGAGAGGGGTGCAGGATGCAGAAGACGATTTACTCCTTCAGGGAGAAAATGCTCAGGTGGCGCAGATCCCATTCGATGGACCACTGCTGAAATATTAAAAAATATAAAATTACTGCTATGTGAGTCCCAGTAAATTACTGCTGATATCATTAACAAAATAATGAACTTAATAATATGAAATTATTCAATAGATTTAACTGTCTAGAGTGTAATAAATGAACGTTGAAAAATAAACATTTGTATTATAATGAGTTAAAGCCCTAATTCAACATAAATTATGCTCTTGTTGAACTCAGCTATAATATTTATACTATAATTTATATGAACATGCTATTGATCAAAACCAAGACCGGTTCATGGGTCAGTGTGTTCATTTCTGCGTGTCTGTGTGTTGTTGTCGCCGAGCTAATCAGGGGTGCGTTTCTCAAAAGCATCGTTAGCTAACTATGGTCGTTAGTTCCATTGAACTCTATTGGTAACGACGGAACTTGCGACCATAGTTGCTTTTGGAAAACGCACCCCAGAGTGGCTGCACCTGTAACTTAGTGCATTACCACTACCTTTACCTGCTGTGCTTGTTGTCAGATCGTTGTGTGCTCATGCCCTGTCGTTGTTTTCACCAGAGTTTCTCTTGTTCCTGGGTTTGCTTCCTGCCTTGTGTGGATTTATATTTTATTTATTTATGTAGTCATTTAGCAGACGCTTTTATCCAAAGCGACTTACAAATGAGGACAATAAAAGCAGTCAAAACTAACAAAAGAGCAACAATATATAAGTGCAAATGACAAGTCTCGGTTAGCCTAACGCAGTACATGTAGCAAGGTGTATATATATATATATATATTATACACACATGGCTTGAAGGAGATGAGATGGAATAGGATCAAGTGGACAAGTAGTAGGATGATTGGAAAGGATGAGTTTAGAGACTTCTGCCTCAGAGAGTGGAGAGAAGGATGAAAACGAGTGTATGTTTGCTGGTAAGATGTGTTTGACAGTTTGTGGTGTGGCAAATATCTGTATATCTGCCGAGCTGCTCTCGGATTACTCATTCACCGACAGATCGGTTCAGCTGGTTGTATTCCCCGTGCTACAAGGTAGAGGTCTGCCGCGGGACCCGACCGGATTTTTTGCGCTGCGGGATTAAATTCCCAAATAAAACGTGGTAGCGGTCAGTAACTCTGGTGTAATTTGAACGGGAGCGGGCGGTCTAACAATATCCCGTTCTCGATGTCCATTCAGTGGTAAATATACGGCCCTCAGACAGAACAGGCAGGTTGTTGATGAGTGATAGAGCAGAATAAGGATGGAGCAAAGTGTGGAGGCGCTGTCCTTGAAGGACGTTCAGCTCGGTTTTGTTTATATTTTGCTTAGCCTATAATTTTAAATGAAAGATGTCGTA